GACGATTTCCGACTGTAAATTATACCTTTTATTATTGTTTTTATTTCCGTCTGTCCTGAAGGTTTAATAGGTTAATTAATCATTACACGTTTTTTTTTAGTTTGAACCTCCAAGAGAAGAATTTCATTGTTAAATTTGGAATTAAATTATTTTTCTACTTCTGTCTTTTTTAGGGGTAGTTTTAATAGGGTGTAACCTCCTTTACTTGATTTTGGAGTACTGAATCGTAATAAGTGACCCTTAAACCCTCGTAAAGACGGTATTTGAAGTACAATATTAAATTTTTAAAATTTTTATAAAAGTCACCATAAGCGGTGTTTCTATGGGGTGCAATCAGCCTCACACAATTTTTGACCGTTGATTGGCCACTTACCATCCAAAGAATCTCAGAAAGAAGATGTCCATGGAACAGTTATCTATTTTTTGTACCATTGGGGATGATTTGAGGGTGGTACAGCTACCTTAACTTTTCTATTTTTCAATGTAAGGCAGACCTTGCTGATGATAAATAAGGCAGATTTTACTGATGGTAAATGTTGCTAAGGGATTTCGGTGATTTTATACATTGTACATTGACTGATGTTCCACAAACAGGTTTATGAACTATCGCATGTAATACTACCGACAAAAATTCGAGAATTGTACGAAACACTTTTAGTTATTTTTGACGTTAATCATTTTTAAAAATTATCTGTATAAAGAGTGTAATACAATTTTTTTTGTAATTTTAACACCAACGAATGGGAAGATATCACTGAAAAAGTGATATTTTTTTAATTATCTGGATATCTAAGTGCTTATAACTAATAAAAGTTATAAGTGCGAGCTTATATACTGACAGTCTAAGTGTATTAGTGTATAAAGAGTATAATAAATTTTTTTTGTCATTTTAGCACCAATGAATCGCAAGATATCGCTGAAAAAGTGCTATTTTTCTAGTTATCTGGATATCTAAGTGCTTATAACTAATAGAGGTTATGATTGCAGGCTTTTATACGTACAGTTTCGTTGTATTTGTTTGTAGAGAGCATAATAAAATTATTTTTGTAATTTTAGCACTGGCGAATGCAAAGATATCGCTGAAAAAGTGCTATTTAAAACATATTTCATATGTCAAATGCCTTGCAAATTATTGAGGTTATGTTTGTTGTTGCTTTTAACTCAAGTATAGTTGTTCTGGAGTACATAGCTAATAATTAAAATATCATTCTATTATTACAAGCTAATAGGTGTATTTGAATATCTCTGCTTGCACCTCATGTATACATGTTATATATTAAGCTGTAAAAGCGCCGGTTAGGCTTATGTAAAAAAAAAAATATATTTTAGTATTTTACGGATCGCTCCATATAGTCCGTTGGCTAGGTCCGTTGACTAGCTTCAGCTTCATCACGTGTAAGAGGTTACGCGCCTAACACATGTGATCTTTTCATACACTTGCTAGAACCTGTGTAGGAACTTACACAAGTGTGTAATCGTGTACTCTACGCGCTAGTGTCGTAATGTAATATTTTGTAATTAAAAAGTTGTTAATTTGTAATTTTGGCTACAAAAACTGTTGTCTGTTAATTTAGGATAGCTAATTTTGACTATTATGATTATTGTTAAGTTGTATGATTTTTATCATAGCCTAACATTTTTTTGTTAACTAAAGTAACGTAATGTTAACTTAATTATTGTAGTTAGATCCATTGTTACCGCAAAACTCCGATTTTTTTTTTTCCAAATTGGAGGAACAATCTCGTCAATACTTGATAAAAAATGTATAAATACACTTATGACCCAATAAATGTGCTTATCATTTCTATAATGATGAAAATTAGTTTTATTTTTACTTGAGATTATATGAATAAATTATTGCACTTTCACAGTAGAAATCTGAAGCTGTATGTATTGAATCTAATAATTATAAATTCGTTTGAGGCATCACATTGGAGGTTTTTGGAAGTCTTAGCTACTTTCTTAACCTAGAAGTATGGCGTACGATGCTAGTGACACTATCAGATTGAGAACTGACCACCAATTTTCATAGGGTAACCGTTTAGATTGTGATTTTGAGGCCGTGCGTATTTTAATTCAAGTATTTAATGAGTATACATAAATGAAATGAGTATACATATGAATAAATTTTACATATAATATACCGACTCAAACCACGAAACTGCAGAAAACGCACTAAACTCAGAAATATAGTTGAAAAAGTAGAATTCTTGATGACCTGTACCAGTAATTTATCTTCTTGAAGAGGTAAAACAGAAAGAGAAGTGCAAAGAGTGTAGTGCAGACGACCTGCAGACGATTTTATATAAATTCATGAAATACAGCACATACTTTTTCTCAAATCGATGGAGCATCTTTAGATATAACAATTGAAACGAACTGTTTTGTATGTAAATCAAACGAAAGTATATTATTTCAGTTCGATAAAAAAATTTTGATAAATTTTTTTTTTAGTTTCGAAGTTTAGAAAACTAAAAAATTTTAAGTGCTTTTTATGTAAATGCAACTGCCTGTAGAAATGAAGCTATACAGCACAGTTAATGCAAAAAAAAGTTTTTAAATATTGAAGTCTTATGCCGAGCTGAGTTTCACAAATTTTTTAGAATACTGGTAAACAATATTTTTTGTGTTTCTTGTAGTAGACATATTCATTTCTCTGTTTTCACTGTGAGAATACACTTTTAAATACTTTCAACTCATTTTGTAGACAAATATTGCTTGGTTAATAATCAAAACTTATAAATAAACGGTTAGTAAGCAGAGTTATGATGTTTTTTGCACAAAATTCACGCTTATACTAAAAAAATTGCTTTTTAATTCTGTTATACACAATAATGTTTTCTACTATAGCAATGTAGTTTTTTAAATATTTTTGCAGCAATCTTTAAGTACCGATACAATTGAAAATGTTGATCAAGTTGATATTCCTAAATCTGATGTAGATCATAATTTAATTAGAGATTCCGAATGGGAATCAAACCCAAAATAAAATCTGTCACTTAAACTGGGAAGAGATATATTTGGATACTGCTTACTGTGGCACTTGCAAAACAAATAAACAGAGCCAGTGGCTTGTTATATCCCTTGATACTAGCTCTGTCAGCTTTATGTGACTCGAATAGCACAATGTTAAGGACCCAAAAGTTTGTTCTCTTTACATAATATTAATTAGTAACAGATCGATACTCGTTAATACATATGATTAACGTGAAGTTAATTAATACCTTCTATCATTCGGTCCATTACCCATCACCTTTAATAAAATAGCAGAATCAATTATGAAACGATTGTGCAGCTCTAAAGCATTAGCTATACCCCTCATTTTTAATAGGTATTTTACTCCGTCACTAAAATACTCTGAACGAGCAAAGCGTTGCACATTTCGTACTTAATTTCAGATGGATCTCAAAAACTTCCTGCCGATTTTATGAAGAGTGTACAGAACGTTAAATTGAAAAAGAGTCAGTACGATTTTTATCTTATTTTTTTGACAGTAATTAAAAAATTAAATTTACTTCACTAACAGAGATCGATGTTACTTATTCGCCAAAGTAGACGAGGAAATTATTAAAAAAGAAGAAATAATTGTGTGATCACGAAAAAACTGACAATGGAATGATATTTCACATCAACAAACTCACAGAATTTTCCAATATCATAGTTCAAGCTCAGACACTACTGTTTTCGTAATACTTTTTGGAAATTTCTAGGAACTTATGGCTCTACATATTTTGTAGTTCGATTAGATTAGAGGATTGTTTTTTTTTAATGCATGAAAATAACAAGTAAATCAAAAAGTAATATATAAATATTACACCCAGCTTTCCATGCTTTTACTGAATCAGATTATCTACAGCTCTTATAGAATAGAGAAAGCTAAACCATATAAACTTTAAAAAAAGTACTACCATGAAATAAACTTCCGTAAGTTTGAGAAGTAGAGATGATTTTAATGATTCAGAAAAAATTACGTATTTACAAGTAATTACATGCTCATAATATGGTGTAAAAAAATTTTAGTGTGGATGATGCATAATTATTTTCGCTTTAAAAGTTTTATTTGTCAATTTAATGCCCATCATACTTCGGGTCACTAAAGCAAAAATAGTTGCCCACAGTATTTATCAGTCTAATGTGGTTAAATGCTCCACATTCCAAGCTAATAGATTAGATATTAATTATTATGAATAGATAAAGGAAGACAAGGATTTGTAGAATCAGAACGTTATTTTAACTCGTTTTACAGATAATGGTACACGGAAAATGTATGACTGTATACATGTATTGTTAACTGTACAACACTACAAAAAGAGAAAAATTTTTTTTTACTTTTGTTTTTACTTGGACCCCAACTTGTAATGAATATTGACAATAATCAAAATTTTTATTTGTTCAATTATGATTTGTTTCATAAATACAGTCAACTGTACTAAAATTATTATTTGTTTCTGTACTGATCATACTGCATTTAAAAATATTTGTTAAAGGTTTTATATTTATTAATGTAATATGGTGTTAAATTTTTTTCCTCATTGTTGCTTCTGTTTTATCTTTTGAAGAGGTAGATTACCGGTACTGATCAAATAGAATTCCACTTTATTAACAATATGTTCAAGTTTCGTACGTTTTTTGCAGCCTCGTGGTTGGCGTCGATACATTGTTAGTAAAACTTACGTAAACTCCCCGAACTTGCTCATAAATTATGTATTCTTTTTTAATCCTTAAAGTTAAGTACATACACCCTCAAAGTAATGGTCCAAACGGTTATCCTCCGAAAAATTTTGTGGTCAGCTCTTTATCTATGTAGTCGATACAACCGATCACTTGGAAAGGCTAATTTTCTACCATCGGTGGTTGAAAAATTAAGTGCTCGCACTGTGGTGGAAGTATACCCTACAGTTTATACTGTTGACGTTGAATCTACAAGTACTGCTACTGCTACTGCTGCTTACCTTAAAAATTTTTTTCAGAAAAAAAAATCATAAGGAAAAAATTTTCAGGTTTTGCCAAGTATATGCAATGAAGTTCTGAAATCTGTTGTTGCAAAATTTAATGCTTCTCAGCTCATAACCCAGCGTCAACAAGTTTCAATGATGGTGAGAAAAGAATTGACTGATCGAGCTCAAGATTTTAACATTGTTTTAGACGATGTTTCTATAACAGAGTTGAGTTTTGGTAAGGAATATACGGCTGCTGTTGAAGCCAAACAAGTAGCTCAACAAGAAGCCCAACGAGCAGCTTTTGTAGTTGAAAGAGCTAAACAAGAAAAACAACAAAAAATTGTTCAGGCTGAAGGAGAAGCTGAAGCTGCTAAAATGATATCCTTTTTTTCTCTTATATGTAATGATGCAAAAATATTACATTTGTTTCAACATGTCATATTCATTCCGTTTTGTATACTATTTTTTTTTTACCATCTACGATACGTCTCTTCTGATGTTGACGAATACAGATTCCTACCTCGCAGAGAAAAGACTCAATTCAATGATGAGCTAAAGATGAAATAACAGCCTCTACCTAAAATTGTCGATATTAAAGTATTTCCTTTTAAATTAAAAAAAAATTACCTTTTTCAAAATTTTTTATTGTTAACAGTTTAGACTTGACTCAGAAGTACCATCTTTGATTCCTAGTATTCCTAGTATGACAAGACGTATTCGTGAGTTGTTAATTTTATCGTATTTTACAAAGCAAAACTAATTAAAAATGAAACTTTTTACTTGAAAAAATTATTTTTCTACCCTTGCTAAAAGGGTGGGTAAATACGTCATTAATTTCTAGTGAACAAATATCTTAATATTCTTTGCTTTTTGTGTTATTGAGATATTTACGCGATGAGCTTTAATTAAGGGTATTACAGTTTATGTTTAATTTCGCGAAATAAATTTAAGGACAACACATCGTAAAACGTGTGAAGAGCAAATTTATTTGTTACGCGATCACATAATTAAGATAAACATAAGTTGCTGCCAAAACTAAAGTGATACAACAGTATGCACCTATGAGTTGAAGCTTTACTTTTACCTTTAGTTATATAATTTATTATTTGGATAGGGTTCAGCATTGCTTTTAAGTATTTATCTGTAAAATGCATTACAAGTATCAGTTTTCACTTTACACCATACTTGATTTTAAGTTACTCGGTAAGTGTAAGTGTTTTATAACTGCTTTTCAATTTTTAAGAATTTTTTTTTTGTGTCCTCATTTAAGTGAGATTGATCGCAATGAAATTGTTAACAGTTTTTAATAGAAATTTCCGTAGTTGTGGTTTGATTTCCAAGTTATGTAAATATTATAAAACTACAATATTAATAACAATAGAACAATTAAAAACAAAATTCTCATCTACCGCATAACTTTGCACATGAAATTAGATATCTCCATTATTTTAGTCACATTCAAAGTAATCGTCACAAAATTTAGTATTCTTTGTGGCTATCCATGTATTATAAAAATGAAGTTGCGTTACAATAGATTTATACTTAAAACAGCTTAAATTTTTTCATTGACAACTCGACAACTCTTTGTTGTTTATAAAGTTATTAAATTTCATGAGCTTAAAGTAATATGTTCTTTATTTATTAATACTTCATTTACGAGACAATATATTGAAACAATTTTGTTATAGTTGATCTTGTTATTTTTTTTTTTATACCGGGTTACCACGACAGCCTACTTGGCCTAGTCGCGGGGGCCACCCACTCACCACCTATGTGTGGGGGTGTATTGCCACACCCGTCTCTTAACCTTTTTCCTCGCATCCTACCTGAATCCATGGGCACAGAGTGAGTATCTCCGGTGAAACACCTTGCCAGTTAAGCTGACACTCTCTGCACCGATGGTGCATCGGGTCCACCCACCACTGTGTAGCCTTTCCCCGGAGAAGACTCCATTATTCCAGGACGTCCACTCCTCGCCGGTTAAGCTGGCGCTCTCTGCCGAAGCATCGGATCCAGGCTAATTAGCATCCCCGGAGAAGCCCCGTGTTTCAGGGGCCACTCCTTGCCGGTAAGGCCGGCGATCCCTGCCCGACGCCTGGCATCGGGTCCGCTAATCCCTACCTATAGCCCTAACACTGTTTCGCATTCACCCAGGCCCGAAAACCTGTGGGGCAAGGAAAAAACCCTGGAATTGCTCTGAAGGAAAATTACAGGGAAAAACCCGCCCCGAAACAGCCGGGGTTACATAGGAACTTTTCCCGATGAAAACAGTTTTTGAAAAAAATCTGCAGTCACCGGGAATTGAACCCATGACCCCTAGAACTGCGTTGTATCAGTAACAAGCACGCTTACCACTGAGCCAACGCCGCTCTTGATCTTGTGTTATTATTACTACATGAACCATAAATTTTACTTCTGTTTATGATTAATATCACTATACCGCTACAATGTTAGATCGGCGTTCTTTCGGCTAGTTTCGCTTGTAAGTTACGTTTTCAAGATTAAAGCACGTTTCTCGTATAGGCATATGTGCAAGCAGCACTATTGTAGGACAAGACATTGGAGGACAGTGAGAAAGCTCGGCCACTATTGGCTGCAGTTAAACAAGGATGGAGTAGCTTGCTGGTGTACAGTAGAGCGTGGTATGGGATCTTGGGAAGGAGACAAAAGAAACAAGCTTGTGTGTATATGTGCGTATATATAACCAGCCATTCTTGTTACTACATACTTAACATTGATTGTTTCCACGAAAAGCAACATGATTTATATTTTCTCACTCTATTTTGATTAGTAAACAATATTAATATTATGCCATCAGCATAATAGGCTTTAGCATGCAAATGTATTTGGTGACCGTTCATTGTCAAGTGGGCAGTGTAGGTACTTCGAAACGATATGAAGGTGCCACTACCTAATCGTCTGAATTGTGTGAGAGAGACAGCGATACTGTAAGCAATTCTACAAATGTCAGGTGTTGTTAGCTTTCGAGTACATGCGTAATCATCGTAATAATGGCTGCTCGTGTTGTCGTAAATGGGAAAAATACGTGTCAAGTCAATAAAAAATAGTGATCTGTTAAATAGTGATTTGATTTTTACTTTTTCAGGATTAGTAAAATTTAATTGTATAGTTGATAAAATGTACTGCATTGTTAGCATAAGAAATATGGTTTCGTAAACATAAATCTTGCACAGATAAAAGTTTACTAGATACTTACAGGCAGTCAGTAAAGGAAGCATAGGATCTAGCTCTTGTTAATCAATAATAGCTAACTTTAAAGTGCTTTTACTCTGCGCGCGTACACAATTTTATATATTTTACACTAATCCTCACTGGTGCTCAGTTACTAGACATTATCGCCCATTGCATGGATGTATTTACTTTTCAAATACAAGGGCACGTAAAGTAGTATACACACCACTGGTGCAAGTGAAAAAACCATAAGTCGGTCGTATGTCACCCTCAGCTTTACCTTGGGAAACAACATGCAACAATGTACATTAAAAATTTTACAAGTAATTGTCGATTGCAATGTATTCTCCTATATACAGTGAATTTTAACATTGTTTTTCAAAGATAGCTAAAAAATATGAAACCGAACTTAAGACAAGTAACCAAATAAAAACGATGCAGCTCTGAACAAATTAGTGTGCAAAAACCTCTAGAAAACTACATTATTTAAAAAATTATAAGCGAAAATGTAAATAAATAAAAGTCAAGGCCTACATGATGATAAGACAAAGTTGGCCTAGAATTTATTAACCGATTTTTTTTAAGTGAAATTTTTTACAAATTTACTAGATAGGTAATGAAACAATAAAATTAGAAAAATTGTTGTTTTTTCTAAAATGTACAATAAACTTTTGTAAATTGAAGCAATAATGCTCAGTACATTTGTAAATTATAATTATTTCAAAAAATGAAGGCATATATGAAGTTTTAACTAAAATTAATAAAAATTACATCATGTCTAAAATAGTTCAAAGTCTTATCGTGGCGATTTTTCAACAGTTGTAACCTAGACGTTGGACGGAAAAAAAGGTAAATTGATTTTTCTCACCTCGGGCGTTTTTGAGAGGCTGGTGTGCCCTCCGTAAACAAAATAGGATTCGCTACATTAGCGCCATTACACTGTGGCTACCTTACGTCCCTCGGGCTGCAAAATAGCTTTGGAGATGATGACACTTTTCCGACGAAAACTACCATTTTTTTCGTCTCGATCCAGTTAGAATCCAGTAAACTATCCTTATAATATAGGTAATTTTAAGCATTCCAGCTCAGTGCGTTGAAACTGATGATAGTGCTAGAGTGGGGAGAGTGGCGTACTAGTGTGGTGGCTTGGAAAGCACGGCTTTGCAGTAACCGAACAAGTGACTTTTGAATTAATCGGATTTGTAAAATCACGAATATCTCGGCTTCTGCTTTACCTACAAAAATTATTTTGTACACAATGTCGGCATGTGATCGAGATCAAACGAATGATCATAATTAATAAAAAAAAGTTACTATTATAATAGGGAGTTACAGTTATTGTCAATTTTTTCGGATGCTTTTAACCGCTGAAAAATCATATTTGTTATTAACAATAATACCAGACTTCGAAAACATCAAATGATTAATAAATACATGAAACAAACACGTTCAAAATTATTAATTTACTTTAATACATAAACATTAAATAAAAAAAGCATTTAATTCATTACAAGCTATCAGATTATTTTATTTTTGAGGCATTAAATGTAAAAAAACGCGCTTTTTCAATTTTCAATGCTGTTTGCGAGTAAACAATGGCATATGAAATATCGCTGTTGCATGTCATTTCGTACACGGAGAGAACAAACAAGGTATTATTCTAGGATGACTTGTACACGCAATAATACTACAAAATTTTTAAGCTAATACCGGATGTTTTCATAGTATATTCGCCGAGCTAACAGCACTAAAAAAAATCCACATTTCTTACAGTATTGTTGCGGATGTTTTGGCCACAATTTGCTTGTGAGACATCTAAATAAGCAAGGGACTCTTTCGCCTGATACTCCGAGGTGTGTCACGGAATAATTCTGGTTTACTTGACGAACGATTCTGGTTTAGCTATAGGTATAAACAAGGTATATACGCATCAGAACAGCATGCATGCTATAGTAGTATAGTACGATACCTTTGTTGCATGTGAGTGCATATACGCGTGTGTGTTTATATATATATGCTTGTGCCCAACTGCCTATGTATAGATATACTACTGCTGCTTTATTAAGTAAATCTGCTGCAACACACAGGAACACACAATTATGTCTATATGTATTAACAGAATCCCATACACGATTATACCGCCTGTACGCTACCAGAATAATTCCGTGATGAGCACGGGATAATCA